TGTTTCGACGTAAACAACGTTTACGGAAGTGCTTTATTGTAAGCCCAAATTTGTATGCATGCATACATATATGAATATATGTACGTGTTTTTGTACATGCCTGTGAATATGTATTTTTTGAACGGTTCTGCCATAATCAACGAAAACTAGAAATCTGAAAATGTGGATACGCAGTGCATTTACGGTACGATAAATATGCAGTAATTTTTTCTGTTCCGAGCTAATTTTTATTCTGGGCGAGTGCGAATTTGGTAGATTTTGTAGACCGAAAACATCTCATTTTCCCAGAAAGTACGAAATGATTAGTCCTAAATCAATTTTTAAGTTAACCTCACTGGGAAGTAAGTCCTACTGTATGGTTTTTAAAATGGAACGGCTAGAAAATTAGGATTTTTTATTTATCGAAACTGCATTTTTAAATTGAAGTCAGCATTCATATGCATTGTCTCTTGATCAGTAAGAAATTATGAGAACCCTGGAGAAAATTCTGGTTTTTCAACAAAAATTAACTGCTAGGAGCTCAAATTTGTACAGGTTGATTATTATTTTATAAAGTCCGATGACTTGGGATTTTTGTTGCGTCTTCTGGGAAAAAAAAGAAAATGGAAATGCTGATGGAAGATAATTTCATTTCTGAGATGAGCTAGAAAATTGCCTTTTTGGTTTCTCCGCCTAATAAATTCGTGGCACAAAATTTTTGAAGTGGATCGTATTACACTGAAAATTTATCACGCAATAGAACTGGTTCAAAAAAAAAAAACATTGTATTGAGGTGCCCTTGCTAGGAGGACTTAAAATGAAATCTGAATCAAACAAGAAACGGGGGAGAGAGAGGGAGTACGGACGTAATGTGTCGGTAAGAGCAAAATTACAATACAAATTTTTGAGCTAAATCTCGGATTTGTGAAGGTATCGTTTCGCCAGAAAACGTCAAATTTATGGCGTTTTCAAAATTTATATATGTGCATATAAATTAATGCATACATCGAAGACATAGATGAAACATTGTGCTGAAAAAATGTATGTAGATGAGTTGGAAGTTGACAGCAACGTCTATGTTAGCCAGGAAATAAATATGCTCCGCAATCTCCAGGCAGAAATTTACATGTAGAAGGTTGCCAATTCGCGCAAATTTCACAGCACCGTCGATGTCCTCAAAATATCGAACCGAACAACATCTCTAATAGCACTCTACTGAGGGCTACTGGATGCGAAATGGTCTCATAAAAAGTTAAGGAGCGAGAGCTGGCTGTGATTGAGAGAATGATGGTGTATATGATGTATGCTTTATTCGCTTGTGATCATACAAACAATCAGACTCACCGTCAGATGAGTGGCATGCAGAATACCAATGCAACTACCAGAGAAAGTGAGTTCTGACAAGTGGGGCGTGTAGCTTACCTTGCGACAACCAACGGACGTTGCGCACAAGTGAGGGGAACTCGCGAAGAAGGAAACGACCACTGCCCCCGAAGGGATGGCGCAAATAATTTGGGCAGACAGTGGGTATTAACTGGAAGCACACAGAGTCTGCCATAATTGCGCCTCGTATACGTAAGCGTCTAACCAACGTCGTTAACGTGGAATACCGGTACTGATGACACGGTATTTTGATGTTCTTGTATGTATATATGTGTAGTTAGGCAGGTATGCTGTTGTGCTTGCAATTTTGGTAAATTAAAAAAGATTGTGGATATTTTGTGTGCAAATTAAAAAGTGCTGAATGTTCCCAAGACTATAGTTGGAGCAGTAAGAACAATATAACAAGTAAGGCCACACGATAGAAAAAAGAGCCTGAAACAAACGGCTCTGCTGACATGCCGCTATTACAGAGGTCATCTTCACAAAAACAAATTTTGTTGTGTGTAGTTGCGATGAAACTTTGCACCAAGTTATCCATGTAACAGTGTTCGGATAATTTTCGAGGAAATGGTCGCTCATGGATCCACATATTACTCCAGCACTCCCGATACACGTATTGTTTATCTGCAATTTCATTCATGCACAAGCTCACAATGACGCAACATGCATGGAGCTTAAGTGCAGTGAAGGGGAAGATTGATGGGAACTATATTAAAAAATAATTATGACGGCAAAGACATGTTGTTTAGCTAATATAACGCTTAGCTACGCTTAACTTTCCCCTGTATGCTAGCAAGAAAAAGCGCGAAGGGTAGTGACATTCGCCGCCCAACTTGACTTTTCGTTTTTGAAAAATTATGGCAAAAAAGTTGCACTCTTCTGCATTCACTTTTTATGAGGTGGAAGCATTCAGAAATTTTTTGACTGGTAGCGAGTATTAACAGCCACCACCCGCTAGCAAGACTCTTTGACGACGGCTCCTTCTCAGTCGCTTACAAGCAAGCTGATGGCGCATGATTTTGATGATAGCAAACAGATGAAGTCGTTTGCAAATATCAATTTTTATTCACGAAACATCCACTATTTACAAAATACTCATTGTTACTTACCTTCATAGTGTCCTCTGAGTTTGACACAAGCGTTAGGCGTCAAATCGGTATTTGGACAAAATTTCAGGCCTACTCCGTGAAAATTGGGCACATTAGCAGGATGTGTTTCAGCACAATTCGTTGCGTATTTTGGTACAGTCAGTCCAGCCTAAACGAAAAAAAACATCAAGCTGCAAACCCGCAAAAAGGAGCGAAACCTAATACAAAGCAGCATAAAAAAA